TTTGTCTGTGAGTATTGTTTATTTATAGTGATGGTCATTTCAATATCTACTTGATATCATCAGGTTGTGTATGTTATGTCTGTGAGTATTGTATATTTATAGTGATGGTCATTTCAATATCTACATGATATCATCAGGTTGTGTGTGCTACGTCTGTGAGTATTGTTTATTTATAGCGATGGTCATTTCAATATCTACTTGATATCATCAGGTTGTGTGTGCTACGTCTGTGAGTATTGTTTATTTATAGTGATGGTCATTTCAATATCTACATGATATCATCAGGTTGTGTGTGCTACGTCTGTGAGTATTGTATATTTATAGTTCAGATTAAACATTTGTCCAATCAGAAAAGACAAGTACAATTGTAGGTGCAAAAGAGTTAGATCACTAATAAACATGATTGGTCTCTTATAATATATGACAAATTATAAGTGATCTTATATAATCATCATTGAGGACCCCAATAAAAATAAAAGTATGGTAAGCGTGACATGTAATCTTCAATTCGATTTAAATTACCCGTCAACACAGGCATGACAGTAAAACTCAACTATCAATTGTAGGTATGACATTATTGTTACTAGTATCTTGACAAATGTATTAAATTTCACCTCCAATAAGGAATCTAAGGAAAGGGTACATGTGAAAGATGTTTGATATAAACACATTCAATATCTTCATAGCCTGCTAAACCCCTGATCCCATTGACAGTGGCATAGATGGTCCATTAAGCAAATATTTCACTGATTTCGCTTTGTTGTTATATGGATTTTCTCCTGGTATAATTCTAGCTTTTTCCTGTTGTTGTTTCGGGCAATTATGTGACATATAAGTGCATGATTCACACTTAATGCATATTAAGTATTGTGGTTTGGTCTCAAAGGGTGGCACTGTGCGATCACCGCCAGACTTTCTTACTTACTATTTAAACCATGTACCTATCTTTACATACCACTCAGTTCCTGTTTCATGTTTGTTCACATACTTACTGCACCTAATACCAATTGCTCATGAGCTTGTACTGGGGTATTATCCTTGCATGGACATGCAGGATTATCTCCTTTGGTTGCAAGTCTCCTCACGTTTTTGAATTTTTATATTACTTACAATATATTCCACTGCTTGGCTGCTTCCATCAACTCACCATTTGAAATGCCCAGATTTAACAAGTCATTGTCAATGACACGTCCCCGTTCCGTTCATATTTGAGTGACATATACATTCAAAGCAGATCATGACCGAAATGCACCTGCATATGTACAACACATTGTTCTAAATCTGAACAAAATCCATCCATGCATGACTGAGATCAGATTCCGGAATTGTGAAAATACGTGATTTTGCTGCATTTTCGGCCTTAAAATGGCCATCATTCAGCTATTGTTAAGCGGATCATGAAACAAATGCACATATCTATTTGTGACATGATGTACCATGTGTGTGTGAAGTTCGAACTTGATCAATCCAGACATGTCTTGGATTACGGATCCAGAACTGAATTTATTAAAACAAAATGGCCGCCAGTCGGCCATTTCGAACTTGATCCGAAAAAAAATAACGTGCATCAAGGTCCTATTATGTTTAATGTATGTACCAAATTTGAACGAAATCCGTCCATGCATAACTGAGATCCGGGTCCGGAATGGTGAAAATGTGTGATTTTGATGCATTTTCGGCCTTAAAATGGCCGCTATTCGGCTATCGTTAATCGGATCATGAAAAAAATGCATGTGCATATGTCCCATATAATGTGACATGTATGAGTGAAGTTTG